GTTCGTGTTTCATGTAACACGGGGACGTTTCTGCAGCTGTTGGATCAGTTGTTGTTGTTTTGGAGCTAGTTCACTGTCTGAGCAGTTAAACCATGTTAATGCGCTCTGAGAACACGAAGAGCTTCTTTGGCACTGACAGAAAAACACACAGCGCAGTCAGCCGACACACAATCTTGTCTTCTGCCGCATAATGCTGCGTTTTACTGAAACTCAGAGCAGCAATGACCTTAACCCGGGTTGCTTTTTCTCAGTAGTTTACACACAGAGCCACTTCTCTCTGCTAAATCCAGAAGATACAAGTGAAATGCCATGAAAGTGAATCCCGTGTAAGTGCATTAGATTATGCCTGAATCTTAATTAAATGGGGATATTAAAAATAAAAAGCGATACATGTATTTATCCATGTGTCACAGTAACCTGAGTTTGAATCCTCAGAGCTCTTTGCAGTGATTTCTTTCAGCAGAGGTGTTTCTTAATCAAATCAGGGGCGATTCTAGGATCAGAGCTTTGGGGGTGCTGAGCACCCAGAGAGCTGCCCAGCCAGGCAAGATAAACTTTACTCGTCACGATGAGACGTCTTCCCTGTCTCTGTCAGTCCCTGCATCCTTAAATGTCTCCAGTTGTCCCGAGTTCTCTCTGACTGTCTCCTTGGTGCATTTAAACCCCTGTTCCTCCCTGTCCTCATCGTCTGTTGTCTTCGTCTCGTTATCAGTCATCGTAATTTTACCATCTCTGTGCAAGTCTGCAAATTTATAATATTCTTAAATTCATCAAGTCTCTCTGTGCCTGGGTCCTCGTCACAAAACATGACATCACTGTTTTGTACATTTTAACACAATTTAATCCCACATTTGTGAAAGAAAAGCAAAACACTTTTTTGAAAAGTCTGTAACAAAACCATCAAATCTGATCAAGGTTATTTAAATGCTGCAAAAGAAGAATGGATTGGAATAAAAAAAAATACATATCCTAACCTTAATTACTGGGAGAATAATGAATGATGCTCATAGTGAGTAAGAAGTAAACTGAGTGCATTTTTTGGACAGAGATTCACTTTTAATGTGTTTGTATAATATAATACAGATACATAAAAAACACTCCCAAAACAGAATAAATTATTACAAAATATTAAAAAAAAAAAGAACTGTACAATCTAATAAAAGATATAAATACTAAAACACTGATCCAACATTATTCTTGATTAACGGATCATTTGATTTTACACTTTTACCTGAATGTGGCTCCTTTTTTTGAAAAAACTTCCTTATATCCATTATGAACCTGGCTGTCTCTCTGTACACACACACACACACACACACACAACAGGAGTTATAAGGTTAATGGGCATCCAGTCAGTTAGTTAGTATCCATTTCAAACAGGACAGTGGTAACAACAGCAGGCTACGGACAATTTAAGTTTTAGATTTTAAATAGGCTGTATACATTTCAATGGGAGCAACAGGACGGTCAAATGTCGCTGATTTTACTACAGAGCAGGACGGATTGTAGGGTAGCAAACATCGTCGGAAAACACGTTTTCAACACTGCAGGTTACCTGGTGTAATGTTTTTCAGCTAAAAAGAAACATGGTCTGACTCCTACCTAACTATATAAAGAGTAACTAGAAAGGCAGCTAATAAATGTAGCATATACCTGCGTTCCGCCGATCTCACGCTGCCTCGCTGATTTCAGACTGAAACACAGTAAAATGAGTGCACCATGGTTTATTTCGTTTGTAGGCCTTCATCACGCTCTCCCTCATCAGGTCTGTTTATAATGAGCTGTTCAGCCTGTGGGGGGAGCTCACAGACCTCTGTCCTGTGCTTCCAGCAGAGGCAGATGCAGCTAATGTGCGACATCCTCGTCCACGACACGAAATCCAGCGCCTGTCTGAACGATGAGCAGAAGTCTCTCTTGGCCACGTTTGAGCACAAAGGGGGGAACATGACACTGCAGAGGAGCACCAGACGGTGAGGTGGCAGCCAATCACGGTCCTTGCTGACGAGTCGGACACTGGTGAAAGTGTTTTCCAGGTTTACAAGTTAAATCGTTGTTGAAATGAATCTAATGATAAAACATCAAAACTGTATAAAGAAGATGGAAGCAGCTACTGTGACATCACCCCCGATTCATGAAGCCCACTTAAAACAAAAAACATAAACAACAAACAACAAAACCCCTTTTTGAAACTAGATTAAACATGCTGTGGGTACACCTGAGGGCACCTGTACGCTCACACGGCAATCACAGGTAGCCCCGCCCATAATCTGCCTCCTGCTCCTCTCTGACTTTAACAGGACCATGATATCAACAATCTCAATTAGAGATGGACCGAGCCGATATTACGTATCGTGTCGGTCTGATACTGACCTAAATCACTGGATCGGATAGCGGAGAGAAACAAAACATGTAATCCGATCCATTAAATATCAAAACGTCCCACATGGGTAACTCGGCTCATAGCCGTAGCACGTGGGAGCACACGTGATAGAGCAGCTGTGTGTGTTTGTAGCCTCAAACCAGCATTTCATCTCTGAGGAAGTTTTCCCAGAGAGAAGTAAAGCAAGTGTGCAAGTTCATCTCTGAATGTTTGTATCTCTCTCTCTCTCTCTCTCTCTGTCTCTCTCTCTCTCTCTCTCTCTCTCTCTCTCTCTCTCTATCTCGATCAGCTGTTGTTAGAATGTATTTAATATTACTTTCTACTCGAGGATCTTTTTCTACGTAGCTGACGTAACTGTGCAGGGGCGGATCTAGCAAAGTTTAGCCAGGGGGGCCGATAGGGCATTAACAGGGAAAAGGGGGCACAAAGACATACTTTTCTTTCTTATTCTCATTTAAAATGTCGAGCTTTTAATAAATAATTATCTTACACCCAAAGTTTTAATCTGATGTAAAATGTATAGAAGTCCATCACTGTATATAGTAACTGTTAAGTCTAATATACCCTAGTAAGCTGTAGTACTTTTTCCTTTGGGAACCATCTGTGCAGTCTGCAGTTCTGTTGAAGAAAGATGTTGAATCTATTTAATTATTCTTGAAAAATAATTTATTTCTGTGCATTTTTTTTCCACACTGCATCAAATTAAAGTTGATTACGTCGATTAAGCATCATGAGGTGGAGGGTGGGGGTGGTTCACTATTTTTTATTTATTTATTTTTTTGCTGGGAGTTTGCAGCCCTGTTAGGTTGTTTAATATTTCTGCTAAGTACTCTTTAAAACACCAGAACAGGGAGGATGGAGCAGGTTTAAATTTATTAGATTGATCAGTTTTGCTGAACTATGAAATATTTTGGGTGCAGTGTGTTTTTCACACACAGGTGTAACAGGATAGCTTTAGTGTTTGTACTGTGTTTTTAAACTTGAGTATGAACTTATACAAAATGCAGCAAGATATTTAAAAAACAGTTTTATTGATTAAAAACACCATATCAGTATCAGACATAAAAAAGTGGTATCGTGCCATCTCTAATCTCAATCAGACCTTAAAGCAGGAAAGAGTTTACTGAGCTCAGGGACCAGTAATAAGGTCAGAGCTGCCACCTGCTGGGCATTAGAGAGAATGCAGGTTAAAGAAGCAGAGTCCTCCTCTGTAAAGTCTGTTTGAAACGGAGTGAAGACTTTTCACTAAAGATGATAAAACTCTTTGTCAGGTTGCCTGTGATCGATGAGTCGTCCTTCCTGTCTCACTCTGACATCAGCTACGATCGCACCGACGACGATGTGGTACGAACATTAACCCGACACGTGCACCATGCCTGCAGTGTAAGAACACTTTAACATTCTTTGTCATGGTGTTTCAGGATTTGGACACAACTGTGATCCAACCGCTGAGGTCTCGAGCGAGAGAGAGGAGGGTAACACGCCGTCATATATTTACTTGTTTGTTCATCCATCAGATTTTGCGTGGAAACATTTCGCCGGTGGTGCAGGGTGCAGCCTCTGCTCCCCTGGCTTTCTGATGATATGCTGTTCTCCACAGCGTTCCTCGATGGGTCTGCCTGTTGGTGCTACGGTCAGGAAACGAAGCAGAGGCAGGAACTTGTCAGCAGAGCTTCTGGAGAGGAAAACTGTGGAGAAGGTGAACCGACTGAGATGTTATGTTCTCACTTGACCTCGCCTTGTTAGTACTAGGCTGGGCCTTTTCTTAATTCTTTATGGGGCAGATTAACAAAGAGCTGGAAGGAACATGGCAGTGATATCATTAGAAATTACAATTGGCTAGCTGCCGGGACAGGTGTGGTCTTCTGTTTCTGTGAACTCGGAGATGGTTGGTGGAAAAATCCCAGCAGATCAGCAGTTTCTGAAATGCAGACCAACAACAATTTAAGTTCAGACTCACTTTCTGTTCTGAATGATTCACTGCTGTGTGGTTGTTAATGCAAGTATCTGATTAACCAATCAGTTGAACAGTTGTACCTAATGAAGTGGCTGGTGATTTTCCATGTTGATTATAAATCTACCACAACAAAGTCATTAATGAACAGAAGAATTAACTGCTTAAAGTTCTGTTTGTTCCTGCTGTACCTGAACGTTTCTGATGCCTCCACTGACTCAAACTATGAAAGTCGTCCTGATAGCCTCTGCAGAGGAACCGCCATAAAACATGTTTCTAAAGGCTCTCCTGTGGCTCTGATTCTTTGAACTTACTCAGGAGGTGGAGACCGTTGTGAAGGCCTCCATCATTTCTAATGACACTGGAGGCCAGGTCCACATGGTGCTGGGAATCACTCAGGAAACCTCCGAAAACTCTCCCCAGACTATCACCCAGGAGTGTAGCGTCTCAGCAGGAGGTCAGCTCTACATTCAAGATACAAGATGTTTGTTGTCACGTTCGCAGAGCGAATTCTTACTTTGCAGATTCGATTCACACAACTAAAAGAAGGTAATAATAAGTAAAACAGTGCTTTGTAGATCTTGTAGCTCATATGTGGGTGTAAACAGAATTGAAAGTGCAAGTAGTTTCAGCATTCAGTCATAATATATACAGAGCATGCAATATTAAGGTGTCTGTGCAGTCTTAAACACAACCCAGTTTGCAGCACCAAAGCAGTCCTGAAGCACCGAATCATACTCTTCACTCCAAACTTTAGTAAGTTTACTCACTGGGGGGCTCGTTTGAGGGGCTGCCTGTATGCTGGATGGATAGATTTTTAATTCATTTCAGCTTCATGTCCAGACCAGTGACGGATTAATGACAAGACCTCTGCTTTTAAAGAATGAGGATCTACCAGGTTCACTACAGTTGGGCTGCTTTGGACATCATGCTTTAGACGACCGATCAGAGAATCAGTCAGAGGAGTTTCTCTTTTAGCCTCTTTTTTTTTTGTTTGTTTCTTTTAATCTGTTGCTGTCAGAACAGGTGAGACAACCCGTGTTTTGCACTCTGTCCTTCAGGCCAGACCTCGGTGTGGTTTCCCTGCAATGACTCGGTCCCCGGTCCTGAGGGTGAAGCTCTGGTCGAGGAGAAAGTCGGGAACATTGGCAGAGACCAGAAAGCCTCCAAACACACCTTTGTGTCAAAGACGGTACGACGAGCGTTGGGCCATTTACTTTTTTGTGGAAGTAACTGAGTTAGTAACTTGGTTATGGTAATATAAAAGTAACATTTGCGTTACTTTGGAAAAATGTTTACTATACTTGACTATATACATTTTAGTATGTTCAGTAGTTTATTATAAAACTGAATACATTGAAATAAATGAACTTACCAGAAGGAAGTAACAGGAAACAATCTAAACTGTTCAAATGTCACTGTGACGATATTATAGACACAGGTTGGACATCATGTAACTGCTGTGGAGTTATTTCCACATGTTGTAATAACAGAACAATAAAAAAACAACCTTTTTTATATTTATTCCACGTCAGCAGGCTGCACCTGGCTATGTAATAAGTGTACAATAAAACTTTTATGCTTTTTGAGCAAATTAAAGAAGCCAAACCGTCACAATGTCAGATCGTCGTGGCTGAACAAGTGTTCCACACTAAAGTGATTTCAGTGTAATACTGAAACAATAGGTTCACTGTATAACAAAACTAAGGAATCAAAATGTAACATCATGGCTGTCTTTCACAATCCATCTCAAGTCACATGAGTGCTGTTCTCACAGTAGAGTCGTATTAGAGTTTCCTGTTTTAATGCCCTCTGCTTATATTCAAATATAAAGCATTCTTATTGGCCACATCCATCCAACCATCCACTGTAGATAAAGCAGCATGTTCTTGATGACATACCTGCCGCTCAGGCTGTTTTAATTCCGTCCGTGTCACAGATGTTTGTGGAGGAGAGAAATCAAGCTTGGATGGTGTCACCTTGTTATTCTCCGAGCTCGTGTTAGCCTCATCGGGGTTTGGGCTGCGCCTGCTAGCATCACCGCCCTCATTCTTGGCGACTAGTTTTGTTGAAGCATGTGATGTATCATGAGATTCAAATTGCTTACACATTCTTACAGATACAGTTTCTTGCCTTTTTATCTCTTAGACAGAAAAGTGATGTCTGTACTTCCACTTAAATGCTTCCTTTGAATTGTTGTTTATGTGCTCACTGTCCATATCTGTTTGTACGTGAATGGTAAATGGCCTGTATTTGTATAGCGCTTTTACTAGTCCCCCAAAGCGCTTTACACACCCAGTCATCCACCCATTCACACACTGGTGGAGGCAGCTACAGGTGTAGCCACAGCTGCCCTGGGGCAGACTGACAGAAGCGAGGCTGCCATATCGCACCATCGGCCCCTCTGACCACCACCAGCAGGCGGTAGGTGAAGTGTCTTGCCCAAGGACACAACGACCGAGACTGTCCAAGCCGGGGCTCCAACCGGCAACCTTCCGATTACAAGGCGAACTCCCAACTCTTGAGCCACGATCGCCCCACACCTAAGTTTAAGTTGGCTGGTTTACCGTGGCTACTGTACTCTTTCTCAGCCAATCAGCAGCATTCGTGCCCACGCTGCATTTTCATGTTGGTAACAGCATTGCAACAATAGGGTAATGCCGATATTCCCATCATGGGGTGCAACCTCCTTGATGTTTACATTCAAGCTGCTCCGACATCACCTCTGATGGAGTAACGTGTCATTTCCCTCCAGGTGATCCGGCCGGAGACCTGCACGCCGTGTGGGAAGAGGATCCGCTTTGGTAAGATGGTGGTGAAGTGCAGGAACTGTCGCGTGGTTGCTCATCCGGAGTGTCGACAGAAGTTCGCTGATGGCTGCACAGCCTTCAATGCCACGGCAGGAAGTACAACTCAAACGGCAGCTAAGGTGTGAGCTGGAGGGAGGGGCTTCACTGTGACATCATAATATGCATCACAATAAACCTGCGGCAGTCATTTCAGTTGGTTGTGTTCGTGGACGACAGGGCGACTTTAGTGAGCTGGTTTAGTTTCCGTCTGTTTTGCTCGTCACTCGATTACTGTTGTATGTTTGGACATTTCTAGAGAAAAAGGTTCCTGGTGCAGGACTGTTTAAACCTTCGTCATAAATTGATAATTAAATGCACAACTCTGAAAGGCCAGTAGATCCCATCTTGAAATTGAACAGCTATTTTATTTTCAGGGATGGCTCTTTAACTGCTCAGGTGAAATACAATTCAGTTTTATTTACACGGCGCAAAATCACAACAGTTGCCTCAAGACTCCTTATATCGTACAATGATACAGAAAACAATCGGACGACGCCTTGTGAGCAAACGCTTGGGGACAGTGGGAAGGAAAAGCTTCCATCAGAACCGGGCTCAGGGAGGGGAGGCGATCTACTGCGGCAGGTTGGGGGTGAGGAACAGAGGTGAAACAGCTGGACAACAGCTGTGTAATTGAAAGCCTGCGCTTTAAAAGACTTTTAGAACAGTTTGAAATCAGGAAAAACCTGGTGGGCTGGATTTTAGATTTTTAACTGACAGGTCACAAAGAGTGAGAATAAATGGGGTTCTGTCTGACCCAGTGTTCTCCTCCACAGGTTCTCCTCAAGGGTGCGTCCTATCGCCCTTATTATTCACTCTCTATACAAACATGTGTCAGGGCAGACATGAAAACAGGGTCATTATTAAATATGCAGATGACTCTGTTATTGGCACTGCAGGTTACCTGGTGTAATGTTTTTCAGCTAAACAGAAACATGGCTCTGATTCAGCACCCCCAAAGATGGACTAAAATGGCCCCTGAATCAAAGCATATTTATCCTCCGTCAGCCTCTCGTTGATCTACGCTGCCTCGCTGATTTCAGACTGAAACACAGTAAAATGAGTGCACCATGGTTTATTTTGTTTGTAGGCCTTCATCACGCTCTCCCTCATCAGGTCTGTTTATAATGAGCTGTTCAGCCTGTGGGGGGAGCTCACAGACCTCTGTCCTGTGCTTCCAGCAGAGGCAGATGCAGCTAATGTGCGACATCCTCGTCCACGACACGAAATCCAGCGCCTGTCTGAACGATGAGCAGAAGTCTCTCTTGGCCACGTTTGAGCACAAAGGGGGGAACATGACACTGCAGAGGAGCACCAGACGGTGAGGTGGCAGCCAATCACGGTCCTTGCTGACGAGTCGGACACTGGTGAAAGTGTTTTCCAGGTTTACAAGTTAAATCGTTGTTGAAATGAATCTAATGATAAAACATCAAGACTGTATAAAGAAGATGGAAGCAGCTACTGTGACATCACCCCCGATTCATGAAGCCCACTTAAAACAAAAAACATAAACAACAAACAACAAAACCCCTTTTTGAAACTAGATTAAACATGCTGTGGGTACACCTGAGGGCACCTGTACGCTCACACGGCAATCACAGGTAGCCCCGCCCATAATCTGCCTCCTGCTCCTCTCTGACTTTAACAGGACCATGATATCAACAATCTCAATTAGAGATGGACCGAGCCGATATTACGTATCGTGTCGGTCTGATACTGACCTAAATCACTGGATCGGATA